TGTTTACATTTTTACGATTAACTATTTACTATCATTATATATAAAACTTGATCATTTCTATTATGTTCTTATCACAGGATAATTACTTGGAAGAAGCTCTGAAAATGAGAAACCTTCTCCAAGAATTTCTTCGACGCCAAGGAAGGCGTCCTCCTACAATACTTGGTTTAAGGGAACACATTTTCACAGGAAGGTTAGCCCTCTGTATCCCATAGGGGAAACTGAGAAAGATTCCTTTCATTAAAAAAATATACATATTCTTATTATGCATAATGTTCATCACATTCCTTGAATGCATGAACATTGTCCAAGCCTAAGAAAGCATTCCATGCTATATAGGCTGGCCCTAAATGTGAGAAATGTATAAAATTAAACGTCACTAGAATAGATTATTGTGTGCTACCTGAGGATAATACATAATACATGATACTATGATATCTCTTATACTTTCTCTCTTTCTTCCATCATTTTCTGTTTTACAATCACAATTTTTTTCTTCTATACTCGCTTTTTCCCCTTAATCATAAATGTCTTTTACATTAACATTACTATGGTGTTTAATATACTAATAGGATGTCTTCTATGCCCTTTTAACTTCAGTGTGTCTTCTCTGGCATGGTTCATGTCATATCAAGAGAGCAGCTTTGTCACTATCGGTCAAAGGCTTTTGGCTAATCCTCTCAGGTAATAATGTAAAACGTCATTCTGAAAACTAAGCAACTAAGATAGGAAAAGTTCATTGAGTGTCCAAGGGTAAACCTACAATGATTTTGAATTGATACTTTTATATACTTAATTATTTTTTAGTTGTATAAACAACTAAAAAAAGCAGTAGTATTGCAAATTGTCATCATTGTTAGACTTGTGATTTGGCTTTATGCAATCAAAAGAGTTACGTTTTGACTTCAAATAACTCATTGACTGTTTTCCAGGATAATATTTTGTAATCTAATTTCTCTTGAGTAAATTAGTGTTGATCTGTATTTTCTGAAAGTCATGTACTCCCATCAGTAAATTGGACATTTTGTATCTTATATAAAACTCGCATATATAAATGCATGAAGCCTGATCAAGTATTTTTCCCTCATTCCATTTTTTTTTTATATTTTGTTCATCTTAAAAAGGCTCTTGCTCCTCTGGATAACAACTTTCATCTCACCACATCATCATTTCTTTTAATGATATGCTTGAACTCTATTATTGCTTATTTATTATTTCTAATGTATTCTCTTGCTCAGGGTGCGGTTCCACTATGGCCATCCAGATGTATTTGATAGAGTTTTTCACATCACAAGAGGAGGAGTAAGCAAAGCATCTAAAACAATTAACTTGAGTGAGGATGTTTTTGCTGGTAGGAATTGGTGACTTTAAAATTATATTCTGACCACATGTTGTTTATGATAATGGATACAAGTACAAATGTCAAATGCATTTATGTCATGCAGGATTTAATTCAACTTTAAGACGAGGATGTATTTCCTACCATGAATACTTACAAGTTGGCAAAGGTCGTGATGTAGGACTAAACCAGATCTCAAAATTTGAAGCCAAGGTAGCAAATGGAAACAGTGAGCAAACTATAAGTCGTGACATGTTCCGCCTTGGGCGGCAATTCGATTTTTTCAGGATGCTATCTTGTTATTTCACTACAATTGGATTTTACTTCAGCAGCTTGGTAATTTTATTGAACCATCAAATTCTTTTTTCTCTCACAATAAGAAATTATTCATAGGCCATTCCCCAAATTCAAAACTAACATCAGCTTTTCTGATGCTTTATATACCATAAATGAAAGTGCCATCAGGTTTGACTAATCTAAAAATTTCTATTGAATTTCTCCACAGATTTCAGTGATAGGAATATATGTATTTCTCTACGGGCAGCTATACCTTGTGCTTAGTGGGTTGGAAAGAGCACTTATCATTGAGGCTCGAATCAAGAATGTACAGTCCTTAGAAACAGCTCTTGCCTCTCAGTCATTTATACAACTTGGACTTCTGACAGGCTTGCCAATGGTGATGGAAATAGGACTTGAGAAAGGTTTCCTCACAGCTCTAAAGGACTTTGTCCTTATGCAATTGCAGCTGGCTGCTGTTTTCTTCACTTTCGCCCTTGGAACGAAAACGCATTACTATGGTCGAACGCTTTTGCATGGCGGAGCAAAGTACAGACCAACAGGACGAAAAGTTGTCTTCCATGCTAGCTTCACTGAGAATTACAGATTGTATTCAAGAAGCCACTTTGTTAAGGCATTTGAGCTATTGCTGCTGTTGATTGTTTACAACATGTTCAGGAAGTCTTACCAAAGTAACATGGCATATGTGTTGATAACATATGCCATTTGGTTCATGTCATTGACTTGGTTGTGTGCACCTTTTCTTTTTAACCCAGCTGGGTTCAGTTGGACCAAGACAGTAGATGACTGGAAAGAGTGGAACAAATGGATCAGGCAACAGGGTGGTATAGGAATTCAACAAGATAAAAGTTGGCATTCTTGGTGGCATGATGAGCAAACTCATCTTCGTTTGTCAGGTCTTGGTTCTAGGTTCAGTGAAATATTGCTTTCTCTTCGTTTTTTCATCTATCAATATGGTCTAGTCTATCACCTAGACATCTCTCAGCATAGCAAAAACTTTCTGGTATATGTCCTTTCATGGATTGTGATTGTTGCAATTTTCCTCTTGGTGAAGGTAACTTCTCTATGGCCTCTCCCTTACTCTTTTAAGAAACTTATTCAGCAAAGTGCACCAAATACCATTGCATGTTAACAACATAATCTAAACATCCATGCAGGCTGTTAACATGGGAAGGCAACTACTTAGTGCTAAGTATCAGCTTGGATTCAGATTTTTCAAAGCATTCCTGTTCATTGCTGTTATTTCCATCATTGTCACTCTTTCAGTTATATGCCAATTGTCAATGACCGACCTTTTCGTTTGCTGTCTAGCATTCATGCCAACTGCGTGGGGATTGATACTGGTAATAATCTTTAGAGTAAACTACAATTTTGGTCCATCATTGAAATTTTTTATTTCAATTTGGATTCCTAAATTTTAAGTTTTACTCTGGTTCCTTCATGTGTGTCTCATAGACCAAAATGATCTTTCTGTCGGTTGTTTGCATTTATGGTGTTAATTTTGGTTAACATGGACATGGAATCTCTTACAGTTTGTCACGTGTCACCAAATTGATCAAGTTAGTGTGGTAAACTAACATAAAGACCAACTTAGCTTAAGAGAGAAACTTCGAAGAAACACACAAACTTTTTAAATTTAGAAAAGATAAGGAACCAAATTTATATTTTAGCCTAATTGTAAGCAACCTTGCTTGAGAACTGTCACATTTTCAATTTGTTTGGAATGATTTCTCCTGGATTTGGTTCATAAAACATTTTTGTTGGTTCAGATTGCACAAGCTGCAAGGCCAATGATAGAGCATACAGGGTTGTGGGACTTCACACGTGCACTTGCAAGAGAATTTGATTATGGAATGGGGATAGTTCTTTTCACACCAATAGCTATCTTGGCGTGGTTACCAATCATTAAAGCCTTCCATGCTCGTTTTCTTTTCAATGAGGCATTCAAAAGGCACTTGCAAATCCAACCAATTATATCAGGCAAAAAGAAAAGGCACCAACCTTGATCATGATTCTAGCACTTGTTTTTGTACAGTCAAGCCACGATATCTTGATATTCTATCGGAAAACTTTAGAAACTAGATAAACGTTACAACATGTACAGCTGCATTTGTATTAGTATACATAGTTATTAATGTACAGTAGAGGAAATTATTGTTTCTCAATGCATACTTGAATAAGTTGTAGGAAAGGGAATTAAGACAGTATTTGCTTCATGCAAAGATCATTATTCTGTACTAAAAATACTACATACCATACAAAATTTGCTACCATTATCATCACCATTTTACCATTGTTTTCCATCTAAAGTGGGTTTGTCTGTTTCTAATTCAGTAAACTGTATTAAGATCTTAGCTTGCTAAAAATACTTGAGAGGATATATTCTTGCTTAAAAAAATATTTGGAGTAATTTTTACGAGATTTTAAATTCAAATTTTATTATCAATATTATAATTTTTTATTGATAAAAAATTGTTTTTATAATTAAAATTAAAATATTTTTTTAGTATTTATAGTTTTACTTACGTTACATTTTATTCTTTATAATTTAAAATAAACTTTTTTAATCTTTATACTTAAGATAGATTTTTATAGTTCTTATACTTGCTTTAATCCTTTTAGTCTAAATCTTTGTCAGTTAATTTTTTTTTGGTAATATTGTTTCTTTAGTATTAATGTGATCGAGATGTTATTTTAACTTTGTGTGTTTGATGTCGAATTTATTTTACTAAATTAGGCCTCTCAACACTTCTTGTACCTTCATATGTAATGACCATTGTTAAGACACATTTTATTTATCCTCACAAAATTAAAGACCTCTACACTTCATCAAAATAGACAATGTCATTAAAAAAAGAAAAAAAAAAGTTAATGAAAAGAACTAAAATAATTAAAAAATTATAGGTATAAAGATTAAAAAAAATTATCTTAAATTATTAAGACTAAAAATGATTGAAAAAGATAAGTACAAAGATAATCATTCTTTAAAATTATAGAGACTAAAAAGTAAAGTAAGTGAAATTATAAGAATTAAAAGAGTATTTAAACCTATAAATAAAAAACAAAAATTTTAAAAAAAAAAAAAACTTGTACTTATTTTCTAAAATATTGTTTAAAATAAAGTTAACGAATAAGGTATCATAAATAAAATTAGGAGAATATTATTATGAAGAATTTGTAGTTATGTCTACGCTAATCATAAATAAAGTTAGAAAAGTGTGATATAAGTTAAGCAGATGTCATGTAAGTTAGTAATAAAGGGGTTATCTCAAACATTAAAGATGTGATTTTATATTAATTTTATAAAAAAATAAAGAGTACTTTTTAATAATAAAAAAATTGTTAAAAAGATTGTATCCAAAGATTGTATCCATAAACCAACAACAAAAGATGATCCGAAGAGCAGGAACAGGAAGGCTAGGTGGTGTGAGGTTGTTCTCCCAACTGTCCCCTCCCACAGACACCGACGGCACCATTCTGTCACGTCTCAAACACAAAGACTGGCTCACACCAAAAGAAGCCACCAAACTCCTAACCTCTCTCACACACCCATCCTCCACCCTCTCCTTCTTCCACCTCTACACCTCTCGCAAGGATTTTCACCCCACCGAGCCTCTCTGCACCGCCCTCGTAACCAAGCTGGCCCAGGCCCACCACCTCGGCCCAATCCTCTCCCTCCACCAAGCCCTCACCCAAACGCACCGTTTCTCCGACAATTTCTTCTACACCCTCGTCAAGTCCTACGCGCACCCCTTCCGCCGCGTCGACATGTCCCTCAGCACGCTCCTCCGAATGCCCTTCCCCCCCTCAGCGCGCACCTTCAACTTCGTCCTCAACCTCCTCGTCGCCGCGCGCCTCCACGACGCCGCGCGCGACCTCTTCCTCCGCGCGCCGGCGCTGGGGGTGGCGCCGGACGCCTGCACGCTCAACATCCTCGTCAAGGGGCTGTGCGCGCGCGGCGAGGTGGACGCGGCGTTTAGGGTTTTGGGGGAGTTTGGGAATTTGGGGTGTGCGGCGAACGCGTGGACCTACGCGGCGCTGATGAAGGGGTTGTGCGAGGAGGGGAGGGTGGCGGAGGCGGTGGGGATGTTGGAGAGGATGGAGGAGGGAGGGGTGGAGGCTGACGTGGCGGTGTTTAATGTGGTGGTTGGGGGGTTGAGGAGGGAGGGGAGGGTGGAGGAGGGGTGGGGGTTGTTGGAGGGGATGGTGGAGAGAGGGGTGTGTCCCAATGAGGGGACTTATAATGAGGTGGTGTGTGGGTTGGTGGAGGGGGGGAGGGTGGAGGAGGCTAGGGGGGTGGTGGAGAGGATGGGGAAGGAGGGGTTTGTGCCTAGCTTTGGGGCTTATAAGGGGTTGGTTAAGGGGTTTTGTGAGGGGGGGATGGTGGAGGGGGTTGAGTGGGTTTTGGGGGATATGGTGAGGAAGGGGTTTGTGCCTAGGATGGGGATGTGGAGGTTGGTTGTGAAGTGTGTTGTTGATAGGGAGAATAATGGATGGGTGGGTGGTGCTATTGATGGTGTTTTGGAGGATTAGTTAACAAGAGGAGGAAAGTTGCATGCAATTTTGTGAATGATGTTTGTGTTGTTTTATGATCAGAATTGGAGTTTTATCTCGATTATTTGCAGAATGGAGATTTGTTGTATTAAAGATTATCAAGGTGAAATTTTGAATTTGGAGAACAGGAGAAAGAATGATTGGTGAGGATGGGGTTTTTGCCCAGGATGGGGATGGGTATGGGGGGTATGTTGTGATGTATGTTGTTGAAAGGGGAGGGAGTTCTGGGTGGGTGGCTGGTTGTATTGATGGTATTTTGGAGGATTAACCACCCCCTCATGATGCAAGCTAACTCACCACCATCTGTTAGTCCTGAGAGATGGGAAACTTTCAGGGACAAATGTGATGGGCTTTGATTAGTCAGTCTGCTTGTTTTACTCATCATCTGCAAATTTTCTGAAGTGCGGTTATGGGATATTACAAGGTTTTAAAATGTGGCAGCAGTTATTCTTTCGACACAAATCTTCTTGTTGGTGAAAATTCTTGCTGATAAACGTAAGACTACAACTGCAGTTGTGTGGTTCCAAAAATTTTGAAAGTGCGGCTGAAATCGCAGTTGGGATTTTTTTGTTAAACCTTGGGTGTTACTTAGTTGAAAGCCATAGAAAAAGTTGGGCTGCTATTATGCATGGAACGAGTTGTGAATTCGTCAATTGAAAACCTGGTGCCACATTAAGTGTACTGTGATTCTGATGGGCTCGGTTCATGAGTGAGAAAATTGGAGAATATGTTTCGGTTGGGAATATGTTGCTATATTGATGTTGTTTTGGAGGATTAACAGCATACTTATCTATATGTAGTCCTGAAAGATTTTCAGGACTAATTTATATGGCGGGGTGCTTGTTCTAGGGACCAATGTGATAAATTTTTATGTTCCGAGACTGTTATGATTGATTGTATATCTTTCAAGGATTAATCTTTATACTTTAGTCATCATATGCAAATACTCATGACTGCGGTTTTTGGGATACTGCTCGTAACGAGTGTGTTTGGATAGGTGTCACATAGCCCTGGACGGCCATCACTCCCAAAGGAACTAAAAATTGCTTTTGCGTTACTTGTGAAATTGGATGTGAATTTTACAAGAACATGGCTGCGAAGACACAGCCAAATACTTACTTGGGACTTAGTTAGGAGGTCCAAAGAAAGTTGAAGTGCCACTCACTATATGCATGGAACAAATTGTGAATTCTTCAACTAGGCACATCAAGGGTACCATGATTCTGCCCTGGCTTAGTTCACGTGAGAACTTGGGTTCCCACTAACAGTTGCATTGGAACGCATGTGAGAATGTAGCATCTAGCAACTCAGTCCAATTTGTTCTTTTTATCTTTCAGAGGGGATTTTTATTACTGTAGTGTTCTGAAATGTATTATTATGGTGAATAAAACATAGACACTTGACCATTTAAAAATTGGTATCAGCTCTCTTGAGTGCACTATATACGAAGGCAAAATCAGATTGTAGATTTTTTATCCGTTTTCCATTTTTCCTTGCATATATAATGCATGTGAGAATACAGGCGTCTAACAATTCAATCCAATTTGTTCTTTTAGTATTTCAGTGGGTATTTTTATTACTAGTGTTCAGAAATGTATTATTAAGGTGAATTAAACACACTTGACCATATATACACGAAAGCAAAATCAGAATAACAATTTTTATCCTTTTTACTTGTATAGTTATTTACATGCTTACAAACTAGAGCACCTTGAACACAAACATGTTTATGCAACGATAATAACCAAAACTATAACTGCAATCAAAATCTGCCTAATACTGTAGAAACACTCACTCGCCTTGAAGACTATACAAACGGGTAATGAAATGCAAGACAAAATATGCTCGCTGAGACATTCTTCAATGAAACAAACTAATAAAATATCTTTTATCTTTCTCCCATTTCCTCTTTATCATGCTCCAGCACAGCAGGTTTCACAAATTCTTCACTAGACCTGTCAGGGGAGCGTGCCTTCTCTGGGTCGTCTTTTACATTTGTGATCTTCATTGGGGCTTCATTGTCCACATTAGTGTTATTAGATGGAACTATTTGAACCTCATTCACCATGAAATTAGGGGAACCATTGCTGCCTGGGGCCATAGCATTAACTGGAGTTCTTTCATCTATGGGAGACAGATTTGTTAGAGATTCATCATCAGAAGAGTCAAATTCCTTCTCTCTTTCTGGAACAGTTGGAGACTCAGCTTTAGATTTCCTTGATTTACAAGAAAGAACATGCTTCAAGCCACGAGCTGACTTTTCGGCATGTTTCAAAATATTCTTTGCCATATCCTTTACCTTGGCAGGGCTCTCAGGACCACTCCCTTCTGGTGATCCCCCTTCTGCCTGAGGCTTACCAGTTGGAAAACCAGAAATGTGGTCATCCACGACTAACTTCACACCAATCATCCCCTTTGCAGACACAGACCTAATGTTATCACGTGGAGATGGAAACTCCTCTCCAACAGAACCCGACAGTTCCTCCCTTCTCTTACCCCGGTTGAATACTGAACCAATCTTGTGCAGGCCCTTCCTAACTGTTCTCATTCGGTGCTTGTCAGGATTATTATCAGGACTGCTGCTGTCGTCATTGAAGGATTCAGATACAGTTGAATTACCACTTCCAACTGAATCATTAGGCTCCCCACGAATTTCGGTATCAAGGCGCCGATTCTTTCCTTTCCTAGGTTCCCACTTTTGGCAAACTTCACTTCCTGGATGATGAACCCAAATCCCAGTCTCCTTTTGCCCTTTGATGTCTATAGGCTCATAGTTATCTGCCAGCTTCTGTGATTTTTCAGATGTAACAGATGAGAAGGAATTTTTATCTGTAGTCTCATTTTCAAAGAAGTTGCTTTGTTCTTCAGTGTCCATTGTTTCCTGGTCACACGTAGTAATATCAACTCCCTGTAAAGATCAAATTCAAGACTGAAATCAAACACCAACCACATGCTATTTTTTCATTTTCATTTATATTCTGTTCATATCAGAATGCTTCACTTTATTCAATATTGGTAAGTACCAATATATTTGAGAGGGAAATTACCTTTCCATTAACTTCATGAATAGTTATTGCCAAACGCAGCCTCCCAATTTTCATGTTCTGAAGTGGCAGCCACATAATATGTCTCTGCCCATCCCTAAGATCATTGATGCTCACAGAACAGTCCCTGAAAGTAGTACAACATTCCATTATTCCGATGAATACAGCAGTGACAGAATAAGTGGCAGGAAATCATAGGAAATACATACAATGAATAAAGGATAGCAAGACAATCAATGATCAAAACAAGGCGGTAACAAGATATATAGAGACATATTGTCAAATTCATCGGAAATTGAAACATTCAAATTGAGAATTTTGACTCAGTAAATCAATCTATGAAAGATTGAAAAAATAGTCAGGGGCACAAACAGACTGAAATTCTGGGAATCTAAACTAATAATAAAAGGATACCACTTTTTGGTGTCAACAATTTATTTTCCAATTTTATTCTTTTATTAACTGCCTTAAAAAAAACTATATATGACTCAAAAAGAAAACTACTCATTAATTAACTGTTAAAAAAAACTGTTATTCTCGATGCATGGAGTGCCTTTCATCCTACTAGTAGTTATAGTCAAGAAGCCTAACTTAAGCCAAAATATAGGGAATACGGGAATGAGACAAATGTGGCATATGCATGAATCGTTGTTATTAAGCACAAATAATAAACAAGGCCCATATCCCAGTATGCAACCACGCATACTTGTTACATGCACGTACTCAATGTTAATAAGACATACATAATTGTTACAAGCATGTACTCGATAATAAAATTGATATTGAAGTCGATTCACATAACAAAAAATTAAAATTAAAATATATATATCTTGCTAACAAGTGGGCACTGGTTAAGCAGTATTTAATACAGCATCAAGTGCTTTCATTTACTTCAAAAAAAAAATCTAAATGATTATTGTGTTTTCAATATAAAGTGTTTTCCTTTTCATTAAATACTTTCTCCTGTCGTTCTTTTAACTGGTCTTGAAGGCAATTGTTACAATTAACCGTGAACATACAAACACACAAAAACATATTTTACAAGATACGAAGTTTATAAAATGGAACAAACCCAAGGATATCATCATAGAAATGGTCCTTATCACGAACTGCAAGAGACAGTATATTATTATACTCCCATGTTATGATGGGAATTTTAAATTCCTCGTGCCATTTTGGAGAAAGTGTTTTCCTTTGTGTCTTTGTCCTGAATCTGTATACACCCATTTGACCTTTAACATAAGGATCCGCTAATCCTGAAACACGCTATATTTTGTTACGCACAAATAAAAATTGTATGAAAAGATCGTAAAAAATTATCACGTGTAAGGGATAACCATTTAGATCTGATGGCTTCAAGTCACATGCTTCAATAACTTCAACTTTTGCATAAGCAACAGGCTCCTTCTCATCCACAGAGAACCAAGACCCTAACATTAAGATTCACAGACAGATGAGTAAACAATAATACGAAACAAAAACATAAAAAGCATAGCACATCCAATCTAATATGAACTCCAGAGTTACAACTAAAAGATTTATATAATATGATTCTAGAGACGGTTATGGAAATGTTCTTTATTCACTATATATGTGTGATGAGAAGATTAATCGCTAGAATTTTATGACAACCATAACTTTCTACAAAATTTCCACAACTGAAACCCTCTAATAATGAAACCATGAGTTATTCTGCGACCCAAATGTTACATAAAAAGTTGACACCCTCAAATTCATATGCATGAGGCTTGTTATAGCAAACTTTCTGAGCTCAAATAGGTAGTATAGATTTTAGATTGGCAACACAGACCAGTAAAACTGAAATATTTTATACTTAATTTGCACAATAATTGATTGCCAGAAATGGAAGCCTAAATGTGCATGTTATGTTGATGACCAGAATACCGAATGGTTTATTTAAAAAAAGAATCACCAAGGCTACCAAGTAATTTGATTATTGCAAAAGTCTTTGAAAAGTGTGACATATGTTTACCTGACTCTGGTGAAACAAATTTCTCAATATCAACAACCAGCATATTCGGCTGCAAAAATTCAAAACATGTAAATATAGAAAAATTAAAAAGCTACAACAGTTTTCTGGCATCAGAAACAACTAAAGGTGCGATCCAACACATTTGATATTTTTATTGCATTATTCCAATACCCCAAGAAGCCAAACATGAGATTACCTCAACAAGGGTCTGTTCAAAAGCAATAGACACTAGCTTATCCTGATAATAGAAAGCATTATGGTAACACAAATTACTTACAGCATGAGCAAATAAAAATGAACGGAGATTTTGCCTAAATTCAAGCTTTACTTACTAGCCACCCAGCAATGCCTGGAAGTTCAGTCACATCAAGCCCATGAGTAAATATAGGTTTGACTGTCATTTGAAAATATGGGGGTTCAACAAAGCATACACGCAAACGGCCAAGAAAAGGCCATGCTGGGAGAAACTTTATCCCAACTAATACCTACAAAATAGACAAGTAAAATAATATTAATAATAATTTAAATTTTATTTCATTCCCTTTTCTCTCCCAACTTCCTGGGAAAACACTCAAAAAATCTGCAATTAGAATTAGTTATATGAAATTAGCTTTGAACTATACAAATCTAATAAGAAACTATTCACCAAGTCTTTCATCAATACTACTAACTAAGGAATGATAAAGGTGAAAGTAACTTCATAACTTGGAACCATACAGAAGAGAAAAATAACTTAATAAATGTAACCTTTGTGTTAAGACTTGAAGAAGGGTGTTTAATTAAATATAAAAAAAAACTTGGGGCATGTTTAGTTTGAACAAATATTTCTAGTTTTCAATTTTATGTGTTCCCAATTAATTACAAAAAAAAATCCAGTTTCACTTAGAAATATTTGAATAAAGACTTTCAATTTTCATTCTTTTGTATTCACAAATAAGTAAAAAAAAAAATGCTTTCACTTTGTTTCCTACTTACAAATATTTGAACAGGATAAATCTTCAAAAACAGCAACAAAGTGGAAACAAAAGAGAAAATTTAGTAGTTACATTTAAAAACAGAATTAAACAACAAACATTTTTGCAAACTAACATGTAACTTCCTCTCCCATCCTGTTAATTCTTCTTTTTAATTAGAATTACTAGATTATTTTAAGGATAACTACTAACAAACAAAGTGCAACACCACCGCCATCCCCACACAATACACCCCTATCAACTCTTTCTTCCAAAGGATAGTTTGTAAGAATCAAACTACATGTGAGAGTATTGGGAATTTCAGTTAAAAAATGTTGGGCACATGCACATTCCTGAATCCAAGCTTGTATCCAAAAACTTGTAAAAAAATAATATTCAACAAACGAATCACGGTAAAATCAAAATCTCATCATCATACCTTCCCTTCAATATGCATTCCTGTAATGTGAAGTTTTGTCCACATTCCAAAGCCCAGTCTTTTTCTTAGTTTCACAGCAAGTATTGCACTCATATCATCAGCCGTGAGAAAATTCATTCCTAACTCCAGAACCTGCATAGATTACACCATAATATCTAAATCAGACCGAACAAAATGTCATTCACAGATGCAGAATGGGACATTCTCTTGATATGCTGCTTTAAATATCACATACCAAGTGATCATCATCACTCTGGCGAAGAACCCTCATTTCAGTAAACAAAGGTGGATTTCTTCCCAAGTATAGATTCTGAACAACAGCTTCTTTCTGCAAAATATAGTACAGAGATATCAAACTCTGATACACCAAAAGTCAAGATATCAATTTTATATTCACAAAAACTGCATCTTTCTTGATAAAAGTTGAATAGAGAATATGAAATTCATATCACATAATTTTCAAGAAAATGGTCAAAATTCATATTATGATCAACCACAATCAAAGACAAATAACCGAACAGTACGAGTCATTCAGCAGTCCAAGGTTTGTATTTCTCTAAGAACCACGGAATGATAGGGAGTAAAATATTCTGAGTGGCAATCTTTTCCATACATATGGGCCATATGTTTTCAACTGCATGGTTCAACCACCGGACTGTTTCAGAATCCGAAAGCACCTAGTACAAAAGAAAAAAGGACACTGCCAGTTATATCAGAAAATCATCATAGAACAATCCTTTGCAATTAGAATATGAGCATGTTTAGATACAAGTCTAGATGAGCTTTTAAGAGCTTCTATACTAAAAAATACTCTTTATTGAGCTCTCAAAAATTTGTTTAAATTGTATCCAAACAGAGTCTATGACATCTCAAATTTAAACTTTCAATGATAAAATAAAATATACCTAAATGAACTGATATTAATTTACAAATATATATATATATATATATATATATGGAGCATATCAAGTGAGAAGGAATTTATTATGAGAGATGAGAGGGTTAAAATATAACCCTTAGATTAATCAAGTGAGAGAAAATTTGGGGTTTAATCAAGTGAGAGGAAATTAATCTAAGGGTTATATTTTAACCCTCTCATCTCTCATAATAAATTCTCTCTCACTTGATATATTCTCACATATATATATATATATATATATATATATATATATTAACTACTGGGGAATATTTTTTTCTTATTACTACAGTTTTAATCATTTCTTCATTTAATTAAGTCATAATTTTATTTTCATCATCAAAATGAAAGCATTTTTTTTCAAAGACATCAAAAAGAAAACTAATTAGCTTATCACTCAATAGAATCTTATTGATAAGTAATATTGTAATAATCCATTCATGGATGTGGATTCTAACTTCCTCTCTAAGGATCACTTTCAGTTTCAAGTTAAGGGAACAGCTAAACTTCAAAGAAGAATTTATTCAGACATTAGTTTGTTTTCTTCATTCACCACTGCTTAGTGTTTATACACTTAAAAAACTCATTAAGCTACTATTTTCCCCTAAAACTTCATGATGCACAAAATCAAATAACCTCACTAAAACCAGTAGAATTACCCTTCTTTGGTTGGCTTGCTTCCTCTCCTCAAACTGCAACTTCTTCCGCAGCCTCGTAACATAACGCTCATGAACCTTACCCAAAAAAAAAATAGATCAAAGTCAGAAACATAATAATATTCCCCATCCTTTTCTCTTGCCTTTAAACAAACACTACAAAGCAGAAAAAATCCAAAACACGATTCCAGTACCAAGCCCCTTATTGTTTATTTTCTTTCCACATCATCAAGAATGCAAAAACAAATATAAAAGGCAAAGAAAGCAAATAATGAATATCCAAAGAAAAGTTGCCAAAATCGCCGACCATGATCCTCAGAATATCCAGAGAAAAGTTGCCAAAATCGCCGACCATGATCCTCACCAGGTAAAGATATATCAAAGCTACAAAATAAACAATCGGGTGGCACCAATTGAATGCAGAGAGGAGCCATATCCCAATAAGCACAATCGCCACATGATGCAAAATTGAAGCTTCCGTTATATCCATCGCCTTCAAAATCCCAAAAAACTTAAGAAAACTACAAAACCACCCCTTAACTGAAATCACCACTCCTTGCACCAAAGTTCCAAACTTTATACACACCCATTGATCCAAATCCAATTCTGAGCCTGATAACACGCGAAATGCGTGCCCATGAGGGAACCCCAAATCTTGTGCATTAAAAAACTCAATCCAGGGCCCCCCAACACCACTCTCCAAAGGGTATAAATAATTGAATATTCAAATCCAAAAGACGATACGGTACCTTGGTGACATCAACAAGGAAGAACAGGAATTTGCGTCAAAAATAGGAAGAAACTCATATTAAAAAAATGGTTGCAGAAAGTGAAGAGGTAAAGTTTGAACAAGGGTGTCCCAATAATGGGTCCAGGGGGATTGAATGGTTTGAATAGTGTGCTGATCTTGAAGGAGTGAAACGGTACCGTATTGGGGAAGTAACGCGGCCAATAGAAAGAAGAGTAGGAGTATGATTTAGTAGCTACAAAGAAACACAAGGTGGCAAGACAAGAACTTGCATGAACCATACCCATTATTTATTGTAATACGTGAGAATATTTCTAAATTTTTTTTTCCTCAAATATTACTGTCTATAACAGTCACTAATCTTCTTTTTAAGAAGAAAATACTTTAAAAAATGAGATAGTTGGTCCCAAGATTTAACACGACTGCATATAATTCTAAAATTTAATACAATTACATATATAAAATAAGATTTGAACTCTGATCTTATTTAAATTGGATCAACTTTTACTATTAAATCACATGCTTGAAGTTTCTAAATTTTTAAAATAACACTTTTTAATATATATGTATATGAGAGATATAATAATTTATTAAAAATAAAAATTAAAAGCAGTTACATATCAGTATCTCTTTTATAATATATATAGGTTTATTAGACATTATAAAATTAAAAATATATTAAAAATATTTTTTTTATAAAACTCATAAAAGTACTTTTGTAAGAAATGTAATTTAATTCATTTAACTAAGATTTTTTTTTTAAGTTATATGTGAAATTGATATTATCATTTATATAAATTATTATAGATTATATATATTTATATATTAAATATGAAGAAAAATATGTAAAATACTATATAAAAATGAAAAAGAATTACTGGTATTAATTAATTGAAGTACTAAATAAAGATATGTATAAATGTATGACAAAAAAAAAGTTGTTTACAAAGAGTGTATAAAGTTTGAAAGCAGGTTGAACCGTTGGATACCACGTGTTAATTCAGTGTATACGTGCTTCAATCTTCTAACCTTGAATACCAACGAGTCAGCATTGGAATTTTTTTTTTTTTTTTTCTGATAATTTGTCGGCACTTGGCTTTTGAGTTTTGATTGATAGTGAGTTTCCATGTTTAAAGTACCAACTAATTTTTAAAAAATATATATATATAACTAAGTCCAAATCTTTTACTACCATTAATTGTAACTTTTTTATCTTTTAAATTAATCACAATATATAAAATACGAAAAGTTATTTTGCCGACACTTTACTTTTTGTATTTTTTATATTTATCTTAATTGAAATTTTAATATTTTAAATAAAGTATCAATAATTATAAATAATATTATGCTATAATTCATTTTATGTAATTAATATAATATTAATTTATTATGCATTTTAATTTTATATAAAAACATTTAAGGTATATACTCACGGTTAAAATACTATTGACTAGTATGAGAGGTTGAAATAATATCTCATTATTAAATGTTTATACTTTATACATATAAATATTTTTTTTAAAAAAAGTGCTTTTATATAGTTTGATATTAAATGATATTTATAAAATGATTATATTTTTAGTTTAAGAAAATATAAAATAAAGAGGAGAAATATTTATAATTAAATATAGCCCAATAATTAAAATGATTTATTTAAAAGTAATAAGTTTAAATAATAAGAAAATGGTATATTACATTTTAAATAACATATCTAAAAATATCATGCCTCATTAATAACTTAATATAATTAGAGTGTATATTGGAGTAAAGAAAATGAGTGGATATTATCATATTAAAATTGAAAGATTTTATCCTCTCTTTTTCAATCAATAGAGGCAAAAGATATTGAGTTTTGAAGATAAGTATAAAATAACATCTTAGCCAAAAGATATTCATGAACAAGAGCACAATTAACACAACAAAAAAAAAAAAAAAAAAAAAAAAAAAAAAAAAAAAAAGTACACAGGGGAACCGTGTCTGAATCGTGGTATATTAATGGATGGGTAATTTCGTAATTGTACAGCAAGATAAACATCTTCTCTTGCCATGAATAATAATATTATAATTATAATTATAGTTATAAATTCAAATTTTTATAATATTAAAGTCAACATTGAAATTGACCGGTGGGTCCCCCAAATTAATGTTTAAATAAATAACAACGACATTAACATTTTTGCCTGATCATGATATTGACTTTTGACACGAATTATAAAGTGTCGACGATTTCGTTAATTTAATTTTTTACATGGGATAAAAAACCATTTTGGTTATTTGAAAAGAGAAATAAACTTGTACATTAAATTATAGATTAAACTTTATTATTAAGAGAGAGAGAGAGAAAGAGAGTAAAATTTGAAATGTAATAAAAAAAATTGGAGAGTGAAATGAATTTTGAATTGGCCTGAGTAGTATTTTATATTTTTAAAGAATTTTTTTGAATTTTATAATTTTAAGAATTAAAGTGCCGTACTAAAGATCTAAATGATGTTTACCTCTTTTTACATGTAAATATCTATTTTAAAAGTTATAGAACAAATTAAAGTTTAATTAGTATTTGAATTAAGAAAAAATAGGATTTGTACTTATATTATCATCTCATTACAAACTATATTAAACATGATTTTAAATAACTATCCTAAAATTTATATATTTAATTAGTTGATATTAAAATTTAAAAATTTTAGAACATTATATCTTAATGTGTATTTCTTATTATAATTTCAAATACCAAGTTTCAATTATGATTGTTAATATTAAACTCTATGGGAACGAGAGTATTCACCAAAATTAGTTATTGGGCACTACGATTTTTCATAATTGGCAATTAAAGTAGGTTACGCCTTTATGGTAGACTAGTAGGGGAAAAATACTTCATACCTATTAAATTTTTAAAAATTAAGATTTAAAAAAATGATGGAATAAATAATTGTGGATGGTTATTTATAGAGAATATGAAAAGTTTTATTTTTTTAATACTTAAGAGGTATAATGGCCCATTAAAAAGTGAATATCAAAAATAGTTACACACTTTAATATCCTTTTTATAATAGGTATAGATGAGGCAGTGGTGCTAGCCAATTTCGTAGTGGAGATTTTGAAGAGGAATAGTAGTGTTATGAGTAAAGTTTCTATTTTCCTCGTTTCTTCTTAAAGTTTTGAAAGAATAAATGTCATTGTCTTTAAAGGATGTATCATCTTCATTTTATTTATTTTTTTAAAAAAATTAGAAAATAAAATAAGTAAACACAAAAAGAAAATGAAGAGGATCCAAATTCATGTTAAACAATGTGTGTTTGGAGAGTGAAAATTTATAATAACGTGCTAGGTTAACAACCAAATTGGAATACTTATCCTTAACAACATAGTTTTTCAGATGTTGTCACTTAAATTATAAAGTTTAGTATTCTTGTCATGATATAATAATTCGACTATGAGTTTATCACAACATTAACTTACAACATTAAGTCCTATGTGGAATTAATCCATTAACTATTCTCTAAATATTATGTCATTCTAGTACTCAATTAGAGACTAAGTCTTTGACCTTATACTTTATTCAGTTAGTCATTTTATACATGCATCTCTTGACCTTGTCTACATACAAATCAATATTGATCACTTATAAACAATATAAATCGATCTAACCTCTATATTGTGGTCACTTATAGCTGGTGTCTCAACTTGACCCACATACTACATCATTGCTGATATAAGAGCTAATGCTATTGAAGATTAGGTGGTCATGCTCTTGTTTTGAGAGTAAAAAACTTAAAAGTCTCATAATACTTTTGGATGTTATGTAATAATAGATGATCAATATTGAGTTTGGATGAAAAGAGGACTTAAATAAAATATTTTTGTTCTTTCTTACATATTTTCTTTTACTTTGACTATTGTACTACATAGATGAGGATGACCGTGTTGTGGTGATGACTATTTATATTTATTTTAATATTATTATATTATTCATGAGGATAAAATTTAGATATATAGCTTGATAAGATATTTTTTTAATGTTGTTTTCAAATCACAATTAAAATGATATGCTGGAATTCCGATTATTTTTTTTTGGAACAAGCTCAAGCCTAATCTTTAATTATCTTTTTAATAAAATAGACTCGAATATTCCAGCTTCAATATTAATAATAAGTTACAATTAGCCTCATTTTTTTACCTTCAATAATAATAAACTTGATTCATCTTTTTATATAATCACTCAATATTTACAATAGAATCAATCCTTCCAAGCCATAAGCAAGCCGGCATGAGGTGCGAAGTAGTCTAATAAACTCATAGAACATGTATAGTTTGGTTTACAAGTTACCTTTTGCTTAGTGAGGCAATTTATACTTATATATTTTATCTAAAAATTTTAATAAAATAAAAAAAATTGAGATTAAATAATAAAATAGATAATTAATAATTTGAGATGATTAATATTACAAGTTACCATATTTTAATTTCTTTTAAAATTATTTTCTTTGCTGGACATGACGCCAGGTGAGCTTTATAATTAATAATTAATTCCTTAATAGATAAGGAGTTGTTGGCCACAGGATATACTCACATGAGGACGTGGCTTAGTGACCTAGTCGTTTTCCAAAAAGAACACGTAAATGCTTAGAACTATACTTTTATACACTAGTGCAAAACGATTGAAAGTTTTTTAAAAGTACAAGCTAGTTAGTGATTGGATCAAACGATATCAGTAATAATGGTAGGAGGAATAATACATTAGAAGCCAATTAATAACTTCAAAACTCAAATTCTCGTGTTGACTTCACATGGTTTGTTTAAACTCAAAGATGCAAACTATTTTTTATTTTTATTTTTTGATTCCATGTTTGTCCTTATGGTATTTCATATTTGCACAAATAGAACATTACATTATTATTATGTCTTAATTTACTTTGATACACCGAATGATGCTGGCCATGCACGTTGCCGTAACATTACCACGTTACACTTGTCGCGTTTTCTGACGTTTCCAGAAAGCACTTTTAGTTAAGAAAATAACGACACGCATGAGACGTATGGGTCTTTAGATGAATCTGGCCAACACGATTGCAGGGTTACACCACGTGTCATTAATAGATTATTCACATACAATATTGTATGGTATCATAAGCAATTCAATGACAAAATTACGAGATAACTTCACAATGTGATTCCTTGTCCGCGTTCCTATTTGAAGCACTTAGACTGTGATGCATTACTTTACATGACCCTATCTTTCGG